ATTGTAGGTAAAATAAATTCTTTCCAACAAAACGTTTATTTCTGATCCTTTCATTGTCCAAAGTAATAAATCACAGTCACAATTTTTGCTGCCAATATATATATATATATATATATATATATACATATATGTATGGAGAGACAGAGTGAGCGAGCAAGAGAGAGAGAGAGAGAGAGAGACGTAACACGATTTTCAATGTAGGTCAGAGCTCGCCTACAAAAACTTGGGAATCATAATGAAGATAAATGTTCCCACCCTCCAAAAAAAAAATAAATAAAAAATAACGACACAAGTGAGAGATAGCAAATGTACACAATCCAATAAGCCATACTTCCTGTGTAGAAATAATGCCATGTTCCTCATATAGCCCCATATAATGACATTATATCATTGGAGATGGCGGTGTAACGACAAAACGCCGTCCGATGTAACACAAGGACTTTTTTTTTGTATAAAGACGTTTGAATCACTAACACATAAAAAGGAGAATGTCTCATATCGAGAATATTTAACATCGAAATACATAAAGAAAAAAATTAATTATTTTTAATAATATATGGAAATCTCCACCCTTTGCCTGATGATGGTCACGAGACCAGAAACTCGTGTAGCAAAATTATTGAAAATAAAGCATTTTTTTTTTTTAAATCCACATTACAACCAAAAACGCTTGCAGTTTCTCTCTTCTTTTTAATATACACACCTTTCTGTCATTGGAACTACTAAAACCTCGTCCTTTCATTCATATTGATATATATATATATATCAATCTTGCATATTTACAAATATGATGCACAAATACTCATCTACATATATACAAATATATTTGCATTGTTTGTAATTTCAGTATTTACCCCTAGCTGGGACCATGCAGGTACTACAACCCAGGGTCAGGATGCACTTGGGATCAACAGCAATTATGAAGTGGTTCCATGCTACTCAAAACCTCCAATATTTACAGCAGAGACCTTACTGCCAACTGCATTTAATCCATCATTATATATATATATATATATATATATATATTCCTTAGATAATTGTTCTTTTCATCACATTCCACTCAATCAATCAAGGAGCACTTAATGCAATTTTCTTTAATTACCATAAATAATTTGAAAGTCTTCTATTACTTCTATAGCTTTCTTTATGTAAAGATATTTTTGATTGTTATAAACTTTTTAAAAGTGAACCCAGTGTAAATTCTTCTCTATGCACACTTGCCCAAACTAAAGCCTTGTGCACTATATTTTCAGTCTCTGAAATTACAGCCAAGCTGCGCATGTTCTTCCTCCAAAATTAATTTTGTGTTGTGTCTTTATCTTAAACTAGTTATATTAGGTATAGAGTTGTAACATATTTTCACAGTATTTTTATTAGACATTTTATTCAATATTCATCGGGGAGTATGGAAGAAATTTATTGTTCATAAATGCAAAATGTATATTTATACACCTGGTTCTTAATGACAGATTAAATAGGGAAGTAAACTTTAATATTTTCTTTTACTATAAGTATATTTATGAGAGTCATATATAAATACAGTGATGGACACTATAGACGTGCCGAAACAAAAGCCATAGAAATGGGAAGATTATTAGTTTGCACACATGTATGTTATTAAATTATACACAAACCGATATGAAACCATATTAAGCTGAAAATTCAAGTAATGTTCTTAAATAACCTATTCAAACTGAGACTTAGTTAAGTGTCACGACTAATGACGTAACAGATAATATTCAAATTTACCGAAAAAAAATGTTGAACAAAGGGACTATAAACATTTTTTTTTTTTGCTATCCTCTGCCAGCCGCAATGATGGAGAAAGAATTACCTCGAACCATCGCCAGTGAGACACACTGCAAGAGCCACCCCGTTTCACGAGGCTCGTCCCTAAATTGAGACGCACTCGTGCCAATTCTCTGAAGGCACGCCATCGAACGAGGGCCAATAACCCCTGAAGTCTCCATTGCCACAGGAGTAAAAAAAATCTATCAGCAAGAGAAGAATATATAACTATTTTTTTTTTCTGTTAAAACTGGCTTTTGCGCGAATGAAGACTGTTGATTTTGGCAAGTAACACATATTAAATATACTTCAATTCACCAAAGGAGATTTTCCTAAAAATTTAAGATAAAATTTTGTACGGAGCAGGAGATTAAAAGAAAAAATATGTGTTAAATATTCCATTAAATTAAACACGAGAGATCTCAGTGTAAATATATTGAAAAGAGACTCACATGTTCACCAGGGAGTAGAATATTGCCAGGTACACCATGGCCAGTAAAAAATACAAAGATATTATCATTGGGTCCACTGAAAAAAATAAAATAAAATGATTTAAAAGACAATGAAAAAGACATGATGAAGAAAGGGTGAATTTAGATTAAATAATAACAAAAGACTTTTTGATTAGACTTTTTAACAACATCAAGTGGGGATCAGTTTTGGAGTTAAATAATAAAACAAACCCTATTGAACCCTATTTGGCCAGAACCCTAAGAGTTGATTAGACATTTCAGACAACACTGTTTACCTTTCGATTACTTTTCCACTCCCAATTTCGGTCATTCCTTCCCTCTGACCCTGGAGAACTTTAAGGAACACATTTGCTGTAACTGCCTGCAAATGACAAAAATATAAATTATAATGTTGTATAATATTATTCGATGACGTGATCAGCAGTCAAGTTTCTCTCATTTGAATCTTTAATCTAAATTGCACTTACCCTATAAGCAACTTATACAAATATGTCAAATACTCTCCTGTATTTCAACTGAATATATTGTCTAATATACGTAGTACTTTAAATGGACTGATGATTTTTGGCTATATTTTTCACAAATGGAGAAGAATTTCCATAAAAAATTAAGATGAAATGAAAAGTAGATAAGATATATTGAAATAAAATTTTCTGTATTGCCGATATAGAACATCAAGGTTGAATGTATCTTGCTGAGTGTGGGAAGCAACTTGTGGGATAGAGGCAGTAGTTTACAGGCCTGACATTGAAGCTTGTGTTGGGTCGGTTGACTCGGTACCACCGGTGAAATCTGTGACTGCCTGTTTACTGTAATGAGTATTGTGAGTTGGTTCTTTTATGCAGTCAGGGTGAATGCATGACTCAGCGTTTTTTTTTTTTTTTTCATACTTTTGCGGCAGCATTCAGGATTGGCTCAAATGTTTAAATTTTATTTTACATTTGGGGATTGTTTCTTGAGTCAGATGCTATACTAAGAGCCCATACCCAGAGAACGCCTTTTTATTTTCAATTTTGCTTTCAGAGCTTCGAAATCCAATCGACGTGTTTTGATGTAGATTGAATCAGAACGAGATCTAATTTCAAGCAGAATATAACAAAACGCTTATAAAATTATTATTCTAGTGTTTTATTTATGCATAGATGCAAGAAAGAAAAGAATTTAATCGTTAAATATTTATTGAAAATTCTTAATTTATGGTTGGTTTTTATTTAGCTGTATTTCAAACTCTATGGGATATTTAATACCAAAAACTAAACATTTTTTACACAGTTTTTTTTTTTGACATAATAATAATTTTAGTGATACAAGTCTTACTAATTAACCTATATCTAGGGAAGAAGAAGTGGATTCATACTTTTCCCAAAAGATATTTGCGGGTAAGTGAATATAAGGACTATATTACACCATCCGTACATCCATGATTAGAGCACCTGGCATTCATAAACGGTCACTCATCTAGGTACTGACCAGGCTCGACGTTGCTTATTGTCTCGGTGAATGTAGGAGAACCAATGTTTCAAGGTGATATAGCCGTAAACACATTACACCAATCCTTCACCCAAGCTCAGAGTACCTGGTATCCCAAGCGGTCACCCATGTAGGCGTTGACTAGGCTCGATGTAGCTTAACTTTAGTGATCGTACGAAAACCGGTGTTTCAATGTGATATAGCCGTAAGTCTAAATTACTATTTGACATTTCTGAATTGACGAGTTCCATGACACCAATAGATGTCAGTGTGTCGTGAAAGGTAAAGTGGGTGTTGTCGCTCTGGTGATCGATGTGAAAAAAGAACGAGGCTTTTGGAAATTGCGTCGCCTATAAATCAAGGGCCGTACTCTAACAAATAGTTTAACTCTGAGAACCAAATAACAGTATCACCAAAATGTTTGCATTTCCAGACAGATTCTAAGTGCAGAAGCAAAAATTGAAATGATTTTCTACTTACACTTCCGGTGTAGTCCTTGGGGACACCTTTGTATACATTTGTCCCATTTATTTCGTTAATTATAACGCCCTGGTGTAGATTTCTACAGAGAAACGAAAAATTATGTCAGGAACAATTAAAATACGGAAAATGTGTGGATATCGTAATTTCTTGGGGGAAAAAACTTACATTAAATCGATAAATATGAAAATTACGAATACTGGAAAAATAAATATAGGTTGTTGTTGTGGAGATGAACACGGCTCTGCAGAAGAGGACTTGCACTCGTCTAAATCCATAAATACGGACGTCGAGAATATCAGTAGAAGGCGAACCCAAGTTGACGTCGATCTGCTCTTTGCGATTGACAAGCTATGAGGACAATTATGTGGACATTTAGTATTAACTTCATATTTCTATTTTGACAACAAAGTTTGTTTTCTTATGTTGAGTATATTTTTCGTTTTCAGTTTTTATTTTTTTCAGCTGCAGCCGAATTTGATTTAATTTTTGTTTTTAAATTATATTTTAATTGTTATTTTCGTATTCTTTCGATTTGCGTTGCATTTTTTCTTCTTTAACTTTATCTGAATTTTACTTATGTTTTATTTCATCCTTTAAATTTTTTTTTTTTTTTTGCTTAGAAACTAAAACATTTTTTGGTTTCTTGAAAAAGGAAAATTTTAAAAGATGGCCAACCAAATCGCTCCATCACAAATTTTTTTTTCGCCCACTAAAGTATATATAACAGACAAAAATGAGACTGTTCCCCCACACAACAAAAAATCCGAAAGGAAATAAAAAGAAAATTCAACCCTCAAAAGAGTAGTCGAATAAGGGACAAGAAAATTCTTCCCCACAAGATGTAGAGGAAAGTAAAGTAAGAATGCGAAAGTAAAAGGGTTGGTTGACCTGGATGCAAAAGAGCTTGCCGAGAGAGGAAGATAATTCTTCCGCACCCGATGTAGAGGAAAGTAAAAAAAAGAATGAGAAAGTAAAAGGGTTGGTTGACCTGGATGCAAAAGAGCTTGTCGAGATGTGAAGATAATTCGTTCGCACCCGAAGTAGAGGAAAGTCAAGTGAGATTGAGAAAGTAAAAGGCTTGGTTAACCTGGATGCAAAAGATTTTGACGAGGGGGAGGAGATAATTCTTCCGCACCCGATGTAGAGGAAAGTAAAAAAAAGAATGAGAAAGTAAAAGGCTTCGTTAACCTGGATGCAAAAGAGCTTGACGAGGGGAGGGGAGATAATTCTTCCCCACCCGAGATAGAGGAAAGTAAGAAAAAGAATGAGAAAGTAAAAGGCTTCGTTAACCTCGATGCAAAAGAGCTTGACGAGGAGGGGAAGATAATTCTTCCGAACCCGATGTAAAGAAATGTAAAAGAAAGAATGAGAAAGTAAAAGTATTGGTTGACCTGGATGCAAAAGAGCTTGCCGAGATGTGAAAATTCTTCCGAACCCGAGGTAGAGGAAAGTAAAGTAAGAATGAGAAGGTAAAAGGGTTAGTTGACCTGGATGCAAAACAGCTTGTCGAGATGTGAAGATAATTCGTTCGCACCCAATGTAGAGGAAAGTAAAGAAAGAATGAGAAAGTAAAAGTATTGGTTGACCTGGATGCAAAAGAGCTTGTCGAGAGTGGAAAATATTTCTTTCGCACCCGATGTAGAGGAAAGTAAAAAAAAGAATGAGAAAGTAAAAGGGTTGGTTGACCTGGATGCAAAAGAGCTTGTCTAGAGGGGAAGATAATTCTTCCGAACCCGAGGTAGAGGATAGTAAAGTAAGATTGAGAAAATAAAAGGGTTGGTTAACCTGGATGCAAAAGATTTTGACGAAGGGTGGGGAGATAATTCTTCCGCACCCGATGTAGAGGAAAGTAAAAAAAAGAATTAGAAAGTAAAAGTGGTTGTTGAACTGGATGCAAAAGATCTTGTCGAGAGAGTAAGATAATTTCTTTCGCGACCGACGTAGAGGAAAGTAAAGTAAGAATGAGAAAATAAAAGGGGTGGTTGACCTGGATGCAAAAGTGCTTGTCGTGAGGGTAAGATAATTTATTTCGCGACCGATGGTGACGAAAGTAAAGTTAGAATGAGAAAGTAAAAGTGTTGGTTGACCTGGATGCAAAAGACCTTGTCGAGAGGGGAAGATAATTTCTTTTTCGACCGTTGGAGAGGAAAGTAAAGTAAGAATGAGAAAGTAAAAAGGTTGGTTAACCTGGATGCAAAAGATTTTGACGAGGGGGAGGAGATAAATCTTCCGCACCCGATGTAGAGGAAAGTAAAAAAAAGAATGAGAAAGTAAAGGGGTTGGTTGACCTGGATGCAAAAGAGCTTGTCTAGAGGGGAAGATAATTCTCCCGAACCCGAGGTAGAGGAAAGTAAAGTAAGATTGAGAAAATAAAAGGGTTGGTTAACCTGGATGCAATAGAGCTTGACGGGGGGGGGAGATAATTCTTCCGCACCCGATGTAGAGGAAAGTAAAAAAAAGAATGAGAAAATAAAAGGGTAGGTTAACCTCGATGCAAAAGAGCTTGACGAGGAGGGGAAGATAATTCTTCCGCACCCGATGTAAAGAAATGTAAAAAAAAAAAGAATGAGAAAGTAAAAGGGTTGGTTGACCTGGATGCAAAAGAGCTTGTCGAGATGTGAAGACAATTCTTTCGAACCCGAGGTAGAGGTAAGTAAAGTAAGAATGAGAAAGTAAAAGGGTTGGTTGACCTGGATGCAAAAGAGCTTGTCTAGAGGGGAAGATAATTCTTCCGAACCCGAGGTAGAGGAAAGTAAAGTAAGATTGAGAAAATAAAAGGGTTGGTTAACCTGGATGCAATAGAGCTTGACGGGGGGGGGGAGATAATTCTTCCGCACCCGATGTAGAGGAAAGTAAAAAAAAGAATGAGAAAGTAAAAGGGGTGGTTGACCTGGATGCAAAAGTGCTTGTCGTGAGGGTAAGATAATTTATTTCGCGACCGATGGTGACGAAAGTAAAGTTAGAATGCGAAAGTAAAAGCGTCGGCTGACCTGGATGCAAAAGAGCTTGTCGAGAGGGGAAGATATTTTTTTTTTACGACCGATGTTGCGAAAATTAAAGTAAAAATGAGAAAATAAAAGGGTAGGTTGACCTGGATGGAAAAGATCTTGTCGAGAGGTGAAGATAATTTCTTTCGCGACCGATGTAGACGGAAGTAAAGTAAGAATGAAAAAGTAAAAGTTTTGATTGACCTGGATGGAAAAGTGCTTGTCGAGAGGGTAAGAAAATTTCTTTCCCGACCGATGTAGACGAAATTTAAGTAAAAAATTTTTTTGACCTGGATGCAAAAGAGCTTGTCGAGAGGCTAAGATAATTTCTTTCGCGACCGATGGAGAGGAAAGTAAAGTAAGAATGAGCAAGCAGAAGGGTTGGTTGACCTGGATGCAAAAGAGCTTGTGATAGGGAAAGATAATTCTTCCGCACCCGATGTAGAGTAAAGTAATGTAAGAATGAGAAAGTAAAGTGTTGGTTGACCTCGATGCAAAAGAGCTTGTCGAGAGGGGAAGATAATTTCTCTCGCGACCAATGTAGAGGAAAGTAAACTCAGAAGGAGAAAGTGAAAGTGTTGGTTGACCTGGATGGAAAAGAGCTTGTCGAGAGGGGAAGATAATTCTTCCGCCCCGATGTAAAGGAAAGTAAAGCAAACGGGTAGGCGGGAACAATTACCTCCTCATTGTGACGGGGAGGAAACCCGCTTGTTGGCAATGTGGCGTGATTGGTCATCTCACCCTTTTTTCCCAGGGATGAAGGCCTCTGGAGTCTGAATCTAAACCCCTCGAACTAAAACTATTTTCAGGGCGCCACAAATGGGCCTGCTAGCAGCTTGCTGAAAGGGACCCAATTTGGTCTCGTCCACCGCCCATAATATCTGCTACAAAGAATACTGGAGATAAACATTTATGACTACTCGTTGGTAGTGTTCCAAGCTGCTGGATATCAATCCCCTGAAGCCCCCACAGACAAGGGTATTAACATTAGAGGTCTCGGCATGCATGGATGATGATAGAAGATGCTCTCAACAGCTTTGACGTCATGCCCTTCTTGACAATTTGGGATAATGAGGACACAAAAAAGCTGAAGCAATTCTGGTCAAGGGAGGTCCCAGTTTTTTTTACCCCTTATTATATAGAGCATTTAGCCCTAGATGTTCTGACAATGATAATCATATTAGCTAGTTTGAATGTTCTGGGTCTGGGGTCGGAGTCTCGATGTGCGATCAGAAACTTCAGCGCCTGGGAGTGGATATATGTGCTGTACAAGAGATTCGTTTCCATTCTGGCGAACATGATAGTATACTATCTGAAAGGTGTGAACATTTTTCAGCATATTACGATGGCCGTTCTCGTGGGTGGATGTTCTTGGCTGGTAAGCTGTTCCCTGAATGCTATATGTACGTTTGTCTTCGCGGATCCGGCGGACAGGCTTTGAGTCCTGGGTGCCACCATACAAGTTCAAGCATTTAGTTTGTTTGGGGTTTATGCGCCCAACAAACACCAGCGAGCAGGCCGCCTTTCTTCGGCGGATCGATCCTTTTCTGTTGAAATCTCGTCGAGTAATTTTAGTGTTTGATTGGAATGTCGTCATTGATCCCGATATAGATCGCACGAGGACTAGGTACTAACAACCCTGATGTAAAACCGTTTTGGGATTTATCGACAAGCTGGATCTTATTGATAAGTTCAGGGATGAGTTTCCCGGGGAGGTAGTGTGGACTTGGACTTCGGTGTTGCGTACAAGCTACATTAGCCGAATCTTAATAAGATGAGTCGACATAGGGCTCTTAGGGTGTTGAATTCTCATTCCATAGTTTATTCGGACCATAGACTTGTCCGGGTTCATCTAAACTTAAATAAGCTTAGGATTGTCATGGCTGGCTACAAGGAATTCAACACATCGTTGTTCGATGAGAAGGAATTTCAGGATCAGCTTTTACTAACTCTCATGCAGGAATTGACTGTAGGTCTGTGTTTAGGAATAAGTGGTAGACTCACCATTATGTTAATAATATTTTCCTGTTGATTAGCTCAACCAAGATAGATTTACAGAGCGTTTGCTCTGTAAATCTAGCACAATAGAAATCTAGCACAATAGAAATCTAGCACAATAATCTAGAATAGAAACGGTTATAAAATCGGAAGGTAGTGGGGAAATTATTGCAGCTTTGGACAGATTTGGCCTCCTTGCTTATCAAGAAGAACCAAAATTTTGTAGTAAGGGATAGATTAAAAAGGATGTCTTTTGAGGCATCAAATATGGCCGCTGAATTTAGATCTGTAGACCAATATACCACGAGCGTTGCATTGTCGGATGGGAGAACCGTGATTACAATAAACGGTACATTCGAGACTTTTCTATCTTATTTTCTGGATATTTTTACCAGGGAGCCCGTTTTGGGCCCGGCTTAGTTTGACACGTAATTAGGTGACTTTTCTCGCCTCGAAGCGACTTGAAGCGACAGAGTACGAGGGTCCGATCCCAGATGTAGAAGTATCTGTAATGCGTTTAAGCATGTCGGCAAAAACACGACTCCGGGTATCGATGGTCTCCCCTATGAGCATGTTTTTTCCTCTGCTGGCACTGGTCTTTAACCAATACATAAAGAACGGGAGTATTCCTGAACGCGTCACCAGAGGTGGGATGAAGTTGTTTCGCAAGAATAAACACTGAGTGAATAGGATTAATAATTTCCGGCCCTACAAAATACAGGTCTTATTACACAAGCATGTTTCAGTTATAAAAATTTTTTCTATATTTTTTATATTTTTCATAAAATTATATTTTTCATTGTTTTTCTTAAAATAATTTTTATATTTTTCTTAGAAACATTTTCAGGGAAAATTTGACAAATGTACCTGAAAAAAAAAAATTAAAAAAAACAGTTGAAAATGAAAAGGATGCCAACTTACTTTTTGTTATAGGCGATATCATCGTACATCATAACAACGATCCGTTCATCTGGAATTTCTTTTTCGTGTAGAATTTGATATGCGTGGCAAATTTCAGCCTGTGCCCGAAACAAAAGGTCAAAAAATGAGCAAAAAAAAAACAAACATTTGATAACCAACAAAGAAAAAGAGAGAAAATATTTTACTTACTTCAAAAGAATCAATAAGGTGATACTCTAAGGGTAGTTTAGATGTGGCACAAGGCCGAAATTATGGAGAACTCCACTGAGGATCGAAATATGACAGCGTGTGAAAGCAAAAAAAAAAAAAAAAGTATTGAAAATCGAGAAAAACAAATGCAGGGAAAAAATTTTATCCGTTCAGAAGAATCAGTATATATATTTGATTTCAAAAGAATCAGCAAGAGATTGTGTAAAAAGGATCTACGTAATTCTTTTAATTGATTAGTGACTCGCTAAGAGGATTTATTCAGAGAGGATGTAAACTCTTCTCAAATCTCTTATTCCGAGAATTAAAAATATTTCATTCAGAAGAATCAATATGGTGATTTTCTAAGCGTAGCATGGATGTGACACAAGGCCGAAATTATGGAGCATTCAGTGAGGATTGAAGTGTGGGAGTGTGTGAAATGAGGCTATGCAATTCCTTTAATTGATTAGTGACTCGCTAAGAGGATTTATTCAGAGAGGATGTAAACTCGTCTCAAATCTCTTATTCCGAGAATTAAAAATATTTAATTAGGAAGAACCAATATGGTGATTTTCTAAGCGTAGCATAGATGTGGCACAAGGCCGAAATTATGGAGCACTCAGTGAGGATCGAAGTATGGGAGTGTGTGAAATGAGGCTATGCAATTCCTTTAATTGATTAGTGACTCGCTAAGAGGATTTATTCAGAGGGATGTAAACTCTTCTCAAATCTCTTATTCCGAGAATTAAAAATATTTCATTCAGAAGAATCAATATGGTGATTTTCTAAGCGTAGCATAGATGTGACACAAGGCCGAAATTATGGAGCATTCAGTGAGGATCGAAGTATGGGAGTGTGGGAAATGAGGCTATGCAATTCCTTTAATTAGCGGCTCGATAAAAGGATTTATTCAGAGAGGATGTAAACTCTACTCAAATCTCTTATCCCGAGAATGTAGAATGGTGCAAACGAAGAAACACAAGACTCTTACTCTTGTGTGAAATATGAAAAAGATTCCATTTATTAAATTACGATAAAAATGATAAAAGCACAGACTACAAAATTTACAAAGCAAGCTTGCACAAAATTTTACTTTGTACACCAAAAACTAGTACTCGAAGATAACAGGTTCTAATTACTATATTCTAGATTTCATACAAGCAAGTATAATTAGTATCAACGAAATGTTCATTTCCTTCGATTCCTCCGCCTGTCGAAAGGAATTGAGAAGAGTGACAAATTCACAGGATTTGCTGGCTTTTTGTCTTTTATATCCAACAGTTCAGATCAAAAATGAGATAAAATCTCGTATCTTCATAACATGTTCAAAATCAGGATTAATTTTGTAACAAAAATTTACAAGCAACTATAGAAAGATAATCAGATATTTTTCCTCGCCCTCCCCTCCTTGCCTGCAATCTGTCCTGGGAGTGTAAGATTTTCCAAGCCCTCTTTCTTCTTTTTACCCTAGAAATTTCAACTTTTTTTCCTGAAGTTAAGTGTAAATTTCAATTTTCTCTAAAACTTAATCATTGCTCACATTTTCGTTTCATGGTATTCTCAGCATCCTTCTGTAGAACCACATTTCTGTTGCTTCAAGTCTCTTCTTCATCTTTGAGGAGATTTCTAGCATTCACTGCTATACAGGAGGACAGTTTTACTACCGTTTGCAATACACTTTAGTAACTTTCCTCTATTAATATTGATTATTCAATAAATTCCCTTAAATAAAATAAAAATAAATCTATTGTTTCTTTATATCTTATTAAAAACATGTCACGTATAAGCGTACGTAAAATTCAGTGTATATTAATCTCTGTAAGAACGTGCATACATGCATTCCCAGCTAATAAAACGGATAATACAGTAATTATTTATCTCGTTTCATCATTTCACCCATTTTAAGGCAATAAAGCCACTACGACTCAAGAGATTACTTAAAGTGAGAGGAGAACAAGAATTAAGATGTCAGAAGATAACGATTGACATTGCATTTAAAAAAGATCAAAGTTGGCTAGGAAGCAAGAACCCAGAAGAGAGATCAAAAGGCAAAAAGTGTGATAGAAGAAACGGTTAGCATAGAACTTACGGTTTACTCTGGCCATTTCAATTATAACATAAGACTTTGTTGCCAATCTAATACTGCGCTTAAATTCCTAAAGTCTAGGTACCTTAGCAGAAAGTTCATCAGAACAATTACCATGAAAATATTTACAGAAATGTCATAGTAAAGCTTCCTTATAGCTGTGGGATAGAGACTGAAACCGAGATGCCAGGTCAGCATCAATAATATTGCAAATTCTTTTTTTTTGAATTTTTAGAATGTCTAAATATATAGCAGGAACATCAGACCAGATGTTGCAGGAATATTCAAAGCATGGCATGAATGGTAGACTTATAAATTATAAGATAGATTCTGGAGAAAAATTTGAATAGATATGACACAGTGAAGCAAATTTCTTAGCAGCAGACAGCAATTGATTCAATATAATCACTCCACTTCATGTCAGCTGAGTATGGGACGTTGTCAATGTAAATTTAAGGACTTTATTTTCTAACTTGTATTTGTAAGCAAAATGGAAAGTGAAGGAAAATACACATAATTGCCATGACTTAAATAACATGATTCAGTAGAAATAAATAAATTTTCACCAATAACATTGCTGTATTTACTTTTGATTTCAATCCATCTTAATGAAACACCTTTTTATATAGTCTAAGCAATGGTCACTAATAACAACTGTTGTTATGCGTTTTGTATATGGCTACTACGATACTGATAAAATTTTTAAAGAGAAAATCAGAGATTTTAATTTGTGAATTTTATGGATAATTATTTTAATGTCATTGGGTATAGAATTGCCCCCAAAATACTGAGTGCTGAGGAGATGTGTTTGACGTGTCCCTTCGGACTTGGGCATTCATATCCCTTCGCAACCCTCTTCTCCTTGCTGCTATTGGCAAAATTTGTCCCTTTTGCTAAGCCAATCACGACCCTCGTTCCATCATCCATTAGCAAATCTCGTCAGTTATATGGAACTGCACTGGAATACCTGTGTGTTGTAATCTTGGTTTCCGGGTCACGGTCATATCACATAGAAACACCGAATCTCGTACTATCAGCGAAGTTAAGCAACGTGGAGGCTGGGTCAGTATCGGGATGGCTGACCTTTTGGGAATATCAGGTGCTGTAAGATTGGATGTCCGGCTGGTATGGCTTGTGATCATATCGTGGTGAAATACCGGTTCTCGTATGATCGCCAAAGTCAAGCAACGTCGAGGCTGGTCAGTATCGGGATGGCTGACGTTTTGGGAATATAATGTGCTGTAAGATTGGATGTCCGGCTGGTAGGGCTTTTGATCATATCGTGGTGAAATACCAGTTCTCGTATAATCACCGAAGTTAAGCAACGTCGAGCTTGGTCAGAACCTAGGTCGGTACGGACTGCACCCAAAAGACTGGGTTTTATAATCCGCATTCATCTCAGTTCATGAGACCTCTCCAAATATTATTTAACCATTTATTTCCTCTCTTTTGCATGCCTTGTCCCTTCAGGACGTGGATGTTCCTAGCTCTTCGCAAACTCCTTCTCCTTTTTGCCCTTTTTGCAAAGTTTGTCTCTTTCCTCTCACCAATCTTGTTTCAACATCCATTCGTACAAGCGATTCAGTTAGATGGCTCGCAGACTACGCCTGGCCTATTTTGCTTTCGATATACCCTGTCAGTGTCATATTCTCCAAGCCCTTACTTGGGGTGAAATGATTAAAAATAAATAAATAAATAAAAATAAATTTGCATAATTACATGTGATATTGATATTTTTCCGTTTGTAATATAAAAAGGAAGACTTACTTGATGCCTGTAGTCGTCCCAGCCATTTGACCCTGCCACGAGTAAAGCCCAACGGACACCTCCATTTTCCAATGGAGGCAGACTGTATGCGTCGATAATTTTGGACAACGCTATGGTGAGTAACAGAATAATGATTCCAAACGACCACATCGTGAATTAATAAAACATTGGCAAGATATCTTCAGTGTCTGACGGTGAGCGATCCCTTCTCGTGTACAATTGTCAATTTTAATTTATGTATAGTCTAAGTAATGGTCACTGATAAGAAATGTTGTCATGGTTTTGCATACCTCCTACGCTAAGTAAATTTACTGATCAAATTTTTAAAGAGAGAAAGTGAGGGATTTCAATTTGAGAATTTTACAGCCAATTATCACAATGTTATTGGGTATGGTATTGCCCCCATAATACTGGGTGCTGTTTTTGTCATCCGCATTCATCTCAGTTTATGAGGTTTGTCCAAAATTATTAACTTCCACTCTTGTGTTTACCGTGTCTATTCAGGACGTGGACTTTCATTGCAATTCGCAACCTACTTCTCCTTGTTGCCCTTAGCAATGTTTGTTACTTGCCTCTCAACAAATTAATTCCAACATCCATTCACAAAAACGATTCAGTTAAATGACTCGCAGACTTCCCCTACCCCATTTTTCTTGTGATATATTCTGTGAGTTGGCCGTTTAAACAAAATATCACAAGGAATTTCATTTGACCCTGGAGGGTGTATCAACGGAGACCCAGTGGAAATAATTCTGAAAAAAAAAAACGACGCTTCACCTTACTTTTCTCTCACTTTCACCTTCTGTAGACCCCTGCATACTAGTATAACCCCTTACGGCCATCACCCACTCGACTCTCACGGGTCCGTCAGGTCCGGCAGATTTTCAATCGGGACCAAGTGACAACAATCGACTCTCCAAGCGTGTTGTGAGTTTTCTGAACCGAAGAATGGTTTCGTCGACCCTGGACCTTCGGGGTCTGTTGAGTGTGCTGACGGCGGGTATATTAGTAAAAATGCCCAACGCACTGGAAAAATCTATACCGTTACAGAAGACGATAAGAAAAAATATGATTTTGAGATTTATGTCATTGAATGAGTTAATATGGGAGAACTGATTTTCTAGAAAAATCTCTGTAAAAATGAATTTCGTGAACCATTTAAACAAAATGTAATTGGGAACTTATTTGACCCTGGAGGGTCTATCAATGGAGACTCAGTGAAAATAATTCTGAAAAAAAATTTTTCACCTTACTTTTCTTTAACTTTCACTCTCTGTAACCCCTTGCCTATTGATGACACTCCTACCCTGCTTAGGATGAAATGATTAAAAACAAATATATAAGTAAACAAAAATAAATTTGCCTAATTTCATGTGATATTGATATTTTTCCGTTTGTAATATAAAAAGGAAGACTTACTTGATGTCTGTAGTTGGCCCAGCCATTTGACCCTGCTACGAGTAAAGCCCAACGGACACCTCCATTTTCCAATGGAGGCAGACTGTGTGCGTCGGTAATTTTGGACAACGCTATAGCGAGTAACAGAATAATGATTCCAAACGACCACATCGTGAATTAATAAAACATTGGCAAGAGACCTTCAGTGCCTGACGGTGAGCGATCTCTTCTGGTGTAAAATAGTTAATTTTAATTTATATATAGTCTAAGTAATAGTCACTGATAAGAACGGTTGTCATGGTTTTGCATACCTCCTATGCTAAGTAAATTTACTGATCAAATATTTAAAGAGAGAAAGTGAGAGATTTCAGTTTGTGAATTTTCCAGCCAATTATCACAATGTCATTAGGTATGGTATTGCCCCAGAAAATTGCTGAGAAGGTGTCAGTTTTTATCATCTGCATTGATCTTAGTTCATGAGTTCTGTCCAAAATTATTTAACCATTTACTTCGTCGCTTGTGCTTGCCGTATCCCTTCAGTACATGGACGGTTCATAGCCCTTCACAACCTCTTTCACCTTATTGCTCTTAGCAACATTTGTCCCTGTGTTAAGCTTCTCACACCCTAGTTCCATCATCCATTCGCACAAGATCGTCAGTTATATGGCTTGCAGACTTCCCTGTTCCTGTTTGCTTTCGATATATCCTGTGGGTGTCATATTTTCCGAGCCCTCATCCTCATTATATGCTCAAAGAAATTTCATCTGTTTCTTTCTGATTCTCGTTATCAGTACACTTTTTGTTTCTGTGTCCCTGAAGACTTCTTTGTTGCTTATTCGCTTCGTCCATGGAATTCTCAGTATCCTTCTGTAGAACAACCTTTCTGTTTCTTCCAGTTTTCTCACTATATATCAGGAGATTGTCGAGCAGTCATGGCCATATAAGAAGGTTGATCTTTAATGGGTTTCTTTCGACAGATAGCAAAAGTAAGCAACATATCAACAGTTTTATTTATTTCTGTCGACAGTCTGCCATACTGAGTAACATGTGGTCATATATAGTTGTTTCTGTCGACATTTAGCAACACTAACCAACATGTGGTCATCTACATTTATTTTTGTCGACAGTCGGAGTCACTGAGAAACATGTGATCATCAATATTTGTTTCTGTCGACAGTCGGCGACACTAAGCAACAAGTGGTCATCAATATTTGTTTCTGTTGACAATGAGCAACACTGAGCCACATGTGGTCATCTATATTTATTGGTGGTATTGTAATTATATCGTTATATATAATGTTAAATAAAAAATCTTCAATGGATTCTCAATCAAACTACACTGTGGTACGTTGTTAATTAGATGTTTAACCCTTGTTTCCATTTTAAGAGATGCTTACGTACAAATCACATTGAAAAACTGGCTTTATTTCCAACATCAAATTTAAGCAACGCCAAGCCTGATCAGAACCTAGATGGGTAACTGCATTGGAATACCTAGTGCTTTAATCTTGGTGTGGGAGTGATACGATGCACATACGTATCACGTAGAAACACCTGCTCTCGTACGATCATCGAAGTTAAGCAACGTCGAGCCTGGTAAGTATCGAGATGGGTGACCGTTTGGGAATACGAGGTGCTGTAAGATTGTATGTCCGGGAGGTAAGGTTACTGTCATATCTTTTTGAAATAATAACACAATAAAGTGACTAATTTCTTGGATTTTTTGCAATTCCTCCGTCAGTGTGTGTGTGTGTGTGTGTGTGTGTGTGTGTGTGTGTGTGTGTGTGTGTGTGTATGTATATATATATATATATATATATATATATATATATATATTGCCAACGTCATTTTACCATTATTGGAGCATTTCGACCAAAATTTTATGAAAAGGTGAACATTGGCAAATAGAAAGAAATAATCAATGACACACATGTAACACGATTTAAATAGTTTTTATTGTAAACAGATTGACGACTAAAAACACAATAAAATGTTCCAAAAAGAGTGTAAAATAGAAAAAAAAATATTCATATTCCCTCGATCAAACATAAGGAACGAAAAGATGTGTTTATTTTGCTCACATACATACATATACATACATATATATATATATATATATATATATATATATATATATATATATATATATATATATTGTAATATATATGGTATTGTAATTATATTGTTATATATAATGTTAAAGAGAAATCTTCAATGGATCCTCAATCAACCTACACTGTGGTACGTTGTTAATGAGAACCCTTATCGCCCGCTTCATTTTCCACCTCTGTTTTCTGAACAAGATTAGACGTTGAACCCTTGTTTCCATTTTAGGAGATGCTTACGTACATATCACATTGAAAAACCGCCTTTGTTTCCAACATCGAATTTAAGCAACGTCAAGCCTGATCAGAACCTATATGGGTAACTGCATTGGAATACGTAGTGCTTTAATCTTGGTGTAGGAGTGGTATGGCTCACGGTCATATCACATGAAAACACCGCTTCTCCTCCGATCACCGAGGTTTAAGCAACGTTGAGCCTGGTCAATACTGGGATGAGTGTCCGCTTGGGAGTACCAGTTTGGATGTCCGGTTGGTATGGCTTGCGATCATACCGTGTTGAAAGACAATCGATAAGGTTTTATTCACTTCCGCGGAAATGCCGTTGTTAAATGTAGATATCCTCTTTTTCTCCTCCAGCTATGGGTTAATCAGTATCTACCGTACATACGGTTTTATAATGCTATACTGAAACGGGTCTGCATAGAAACACCGGCTGTCGTACGATCACCAAAGTTAAGCAACGTCGAGCCTGGTAAGTATCGAGATGGGTGACCGTTTGGGAATACCAGGTGCTGTAAGATTGGATGTCAGGGCGGTAAGGTTACGATCATATCTTTTTGAAACAATAACACAATAAAGTGGTTAAGGATATTAGCAGGTCAACAATTTCCTACAAGACGAACCTAATGATTCAGTCTGCAAGTATCTCCGTGTTCTGTTATTACATACGGTTTTATAATGTTATATTGAAACGTCTCTGCAATCTTAAAAGACATTACAGTTGGAACAGTGTAAGCAGCCAGTCTCATATAATATATCATTCTACCCTAAACCCAATGGAACATATATATCCAACCGAAATGGACTAAACCTAATTGATTGACGCAAAGAAGTCCGTAAGGGCTTTGCGCAAGTCTGCTTCATTGGTGAAGGATTTCCCACGAAGATGATTATCCAGGGAGTGGAAGAGGTGGTAATCGGATGGCACAAGGTCAGGTGAATAAGGTGGATGTCACAAAGTCTCCCACCCAATTTGTTGTATGTTATCCCTGACCACTCGCGCGTAATGCGGCCTGGCGTTGTCATGGAGAAAAAGCACACCTTTGCGATTCACCAGTGCTGGCTCCTTCTGGCGCAATGCCTGTTGCTCACGTTTCAAATGCTGCGAGTATAGGTCTCCAGTGACCGTTTGGCCCGTTGGTAGCAGTTCATAATGGACCACTTGATGACCAGACACAAAGCATAATCTTGCGTGGGTGCATAGGCGGTCTTGCGGTGTAAAGGACGGCATCCTGAGGAGACAACCAATGTTTGTCTGTCCAGACTATATATACTATTTGATGGCTAGAATGGATGAGATCAAATGCAAGATAAAATGCTGACATCAATATAAATTCTGGTGTCAAATATCAGCGTGTGCCCTGCATTTTATCTCATCCAATCTAGCCATGTAATTGTATATATATTCTGTACAAAAAAGAGAGAGAGAGAAGAACCCCACCATGGCATATTTCGAAATACTTCCATGTTCAGATCTGTTTACCACAACATGTTCCCGTTTACCCACGGTTTCAGTCTAATGATTTACCAAAATGTGTCACTAAAGAGCTTACTTTAATTCAAAAACTGAATTTTCTTGAATTAAGGAGAATAGAATTTTTTTTTTATCCTGATGTTACTAAGATCGACGATGAGAACAAATCTTCTGTCATATCATACTTATTACAGAATATTATTATAATAGATTAGTTTTATTAGCACTTTATTTTGCTAATCTCTTATATTACCTAATAAGATCTACCGTAGGAACGAATCTTCTATTTCGTCACATTACTTTTATTTCAGTCTTTTGATATAGTCGTTCTATTTTATTGCAATTCATTGTTGTTAATCTCTTATTGAGCCTCATGATATCTACGATAAAATAACTTTCATTAATGTCTATTGCAATTATTACTTTATTTTATTTTTACTTATTGTTGTTAATATCTTATTGTGGCTAATGTAATCTACGCAAAGAGTGGCAGATTCTAAATGCCCGTAGGAGTAATGATGACAAAGGAGCGCATGTCGTATATTTACTCAGCGTCCTTTCCAGCGAGGTCTTAGCCGCATTCCGGCCTGGGTGTGGCAGGCATAGTGACTCTTCCAATTTCCTGTGACTCTCTGTTATATGTTGAGTGAACCTTTTGTTCAATGTCAGTCTGCGTAACACTGGAAAAATTGAAACCGTGTTTATTGGAATTTCCGTTGTCAACTACGAACCTTCTAGAAAGAAATCAATTCATGTCATTTTTATCCCAAGGTAAATAGTTTCATTATTTGCTTTCGTGATTGGGCTTGTTAGATTTTGAATGACATCAGAAGCAAGATAACGTCTTTTGTATTCTTTTAGGCTATTCAAATAATTCTTAATTCCCGTTGTATGACACAACTTGATGTTAGCTAGTAACGGCAGAAAGTATGTATCTGATATATTTTCAACCCCGTGAACAACTTGAAAGAACCTTTCGAAAAATCAAACCCAATTTGATCTTGATCTTTCTGAGGAAAGTTGGACTATATAATAAAATATAATTCCAATTTGGTGTCTGATGATGAAAGGGTAAACTTTGATACGTGCCAGGTGAGAAATTTTCAAAGAACAACGCACCTCCGAAAACAGTGAATTTTTTTTTTTTTTTAAAAAAACAAGACAACATCGAAAGGACAGGAAAGGGAAAGACTTTTGAAAGCATTTCAACCTTATTTAAAGAAAAAGAAAAAAAAAACAAAACAAAATAACAGTTTGATCTAAAATGATCTCTTGCCGATAGATGGGGCGTTAAGTTTAAAACAAACAAACAAAATTTCAAGATTTCAAAATACATTAGAGATTTGGAAATCGGTCCGGAAAAGAAACTGATGATGTATTTTGACATCGTCAGTGTGTATAACAATGTGTCACTTCAGGACAACATTGATATATATTCTGATAATCTTCATACAGAATTATGATGTCTTTTGACAATCTCAGTTTGTATACCATTGTTCCTCTTCAGGACACCATTAATATATATTCTGATGCTCTTTATACAGAATTATGATGTCTTTTGACAATCTCAGTTTGTATACGCATGGGCCACATCAGGATCCCATTGATATATATTCTGTTAGGCTTTATACTGAATTAAGTAGTCTTTTGACAATTTCAGTTTGAATAACAATGTGCCTCTTCAGGAGACCATTAATATATATTCTGATGCACATTATACAGAATAAGGGTATTTTGACAATCTCAGTTTGTATAAGGATGGGCCACATCAGGATCCCATTGATATATATTCTGATTCAATTTATACAGAATTAAAATATTTTTGACAATCTAAGTTTCTATAAAAATGTGCCTCTTCAGGACACCATAATATATATTCTGATGCAGAATGAAGATGCTTTTGTATATCTCCATTTGTATACCGATGGGCCACATCAGGATAACATTAATATATATTCTATTACGCTTTATACTGAATTATGATGTATTTTGAAAATTTCAGTTTGTATATCAATGTGCCTCTTCAAGACACCATTAATGTATATTTTGATGCTCTTTATACCGAATAAGGATTCTTTTGACAATCTCAGTTTGTATAACGATGGGCCACATCGGGATACGATTAATATATATTCTGATGCTCTTTATACAGAATAATGATGTCTTTTGACAATCTCTGTTTGTATACAAATGTGCCTCTTCAAGACACCATTAGTATATATTCTGATGCTCTTTATACAGAATAATGATGTCTTTTGACAATCTCTGTTTGTATACAAATGTGCCTCTTCAAGACACCATTAGTATATATTCTGTTGCTCTTTATACAGAATAATGATGTCTTTTGACAATCTCTGTTTGTATACAAATGTGCCTCTTCAAGACACCATTAGTATATATTCTGATGCTCTTTATACAGAATAATGATGTCTTTTGACAATCTCTGTTTGTATACAAATGTGCCTCTTCAAGACACCATTAGTATATATTGGAAATTCTGTTGTCAACTACGAACCTTCTAGAGTCAAGTCTATTCAAGTAATTTTTATCTGAATATAAATGGTTTGATTAATAGTTTTCCTGCTTGGAATTGTTCGATTTGGGATGACATCAGAAGCAAGATAACGTCTTTGCAATTCTTTTAGGCCCTTCAAATAATTATTAATTCCCGGTGTAAGACGTTTTCGTTAATGCAACTTGTTTTTAGCTAGGAAACGAGAAAGAAAGAAAGGCTGTATGTGATAGCTTTTCAAGCCATAATATTTCTGATTCATTCAAGAATTCAAATTTCCTTTGTTTTTTGGAAATCGTTTCAGAAAATAAAAATATTATATACGCTCAGACCAACGTGGTTTCAATTGGTAATCCTGTTGCTTGTTGCTTGCTGACAGACTTACATCTTCGTGTTATAACGTTGTTAATTTGCGTACTGTCTTTCAAACTAGATCCACGTTTCCATCCTTTAGTAAAGATTGTTTATCCCATCTTCAGAATAGTTCTTTTATATAAAAATTTAAATACCTTTGTGATGCTGAATACATAGGAGGGACCAATTAAAAGCTGGAAACACCTGCCTGACTATTTGCGTTCTAATGGTCAGAGTCGTATGAAAGGGACCACTCAATATGTGAATGACTCTTCCATTGGACAACATTTATTGAACAATCCTGACTGTGCCACCGATTACAATGACAATTATTGCATAGAACTAACTGGGTCCACCATCTTGTACTTCTTGAGGCTGTTTATATTATATTCCATTAGCTGAGCCTATGTGAGCAAAATAAACACTTCTTTCGTTCCTTATGTTTGGTCGAGGGAATATGAATAATTTTTTCTATTTTATACTCTTTTTGGAGCATTTTATTGTGTTTGTAGTCATCAATCTGTTTACAATTAAAATCTATTTAAATCGTGTTACATGGGTGTCATTGATTATTTTGTTTTAGTTGCCAATGTTCACCTTTTCATAAAATTTTAGCCGAAAGTGTCTCCTAAAGGCAGAGTCTCTCCCTCAGTATATATATATATATATAGTACTGCTTGAAACTTTGTGATTAAAAGTTATTAAAAGATTATATTATAAGTTATTATTTTATAATATTATATATTTAAAAGATTATAGAATATTCTCATTATTCCAGATAAGCAACAAATCTTAATTATAAACATTATTCATTAAAAAATAACTACCACTTTAAAAAATTCTTTAGTCATATAATGAGTATGAGGGCTTGAAGAGTTTGACATCCACGGGACATAAAGAAAGCAAAAGGCGACAGGGGAAGTTTGCGAACCAATTAATTGATCAGTTTTGCGTATGGATGATGGGACAAGGGTGGTGTGAGGCTTAGCAAAGGAACAAGTATTGCTAAGGGGAAGGAAGATGTGAAGAGCTGTGAACGCCCACGTACTGAAGTGTCACATCAATCACAAGAGAGGAAGTGAATTGTTAAATGATATTTGACAGACCTCATGGACTGAGATGAAATTTGTTATTAAAAACCCTGAACCATGTCAGCACCCATTATATTGCAGGTAATT